GCTGCCTGCCTGCACCCCTGCTTCTCTCTGATTCGCCAGCTGAAGAGAGCTTTAAGAACAGCTGAGTGCTGAGGAAAAGGGTCTTTTTTGTCTTGATTCCTCTCTGGTGTGTCAGAAGCCAGACAAGTGGAGTTAGTGTGTCTGTCAGAGGGAAACAGACAAGTTCTCTTGTGAAGTGAAGGGACACCGCCTTGCCCTTACTGTGTATCATCACATTTGAGGAAAAGTTCAGAAATTAGAACTAAGCGTCAGCCCTAGCTGAATTCCATTTATTCATAGTCTCCAGAACTGGGGTTTAGGTTTCACAGAAGAGACTGGACAGTAAGTTGAAACTGCCAGTCTAGCCAAACAGAAAAGGATTATTGCTCCTAGAAAGAGGGGGATATTTCTTACCGAGTTATTCAGTGGGTTCAACTCAGAAGGGACCCCTGGTTTGTGTGAAAAGGGAAATAGTCTTAGATTCCTCAAGAGTCAAAAGGAAAGTTGTAATCCCACATGGGAGGTATTTAAATATAGGAAGGAAGTACTGGCTTCCAGGAAACTAAGATAGTTTTATGAAACTTTATCAAGACACATTGTTGCTGAAAGAAATCTCCAAGACAAACAAACCTCTCACAGTTAAGAACTGAGTATCTATAAAAATAACCTTCAACTATACTCTGTTGCCTGTTCAAAATATGATTATATAATTTGTATAAACAAAATTCACCTCAGTTTCTTGTCCTCTGCCTATTCCTAATCCAACAGTGCCTGTTCAATAAAATCAGCATTCCTGTTTGAACTTTACTTTGTGTCAAGTGTCATACAAAGGGAATTATAAGAGGGATCCTGCTAAGCTACAATAAATCTCTGGCCTGGGCAAAAGCCAAATAACTTTTATATCACAGGGTGGAACACGCAGAAAATCGTAATTCTATACCAAGGGGCTACTCAGTCAGAGTGGGGGATAGTGTTTTGGCAGGAAAATCTGCTTCACAGTAAATAAGAAGTGGGGGTCCATCACAGCTACCTCTACAAGTGAAGTTCAGAATACATACTTTATAACCTCCCCCTTTTACAAAGAATGTGGTTAATGCAATATGCAGTGTGAAGGAAGAGCCATTTAAACTGATAATTCCTATGCAGTGTTACTGTTTAACTGGTGAGGTGTTTTCTGGTCTGCATGAAGACATGCAGTGTGAAAGATATGCATGTTAGACCATGCTAATTTTTGATATATTCCTGGGGCTTGGTTGGTGTGAAGGTGAGAGATTGTTCACTTTTGAGTATGCATATGTGTTTCAGATTGATATTGTTGCACCAAAGCAGGAAACTCTGGGGCAGTTAGCACTGAGTCTCCCACCCCTCTATAGGGACACCAGGTACTGTTTGAAACCAGTTCATACATCATAGTGAGCAATGCCTTTTTCAAAAGATGGAAGGCAACATCTTGTGAGAAGTATAGTCTGCACAGCTATTTCCAGAAGACGAGCAGGAAGGCAGCGCTGGCGATCTTGTCATCTCAGGATTGACTGAATTTCTCAAGGCACGTTTTCACAGATCTTCTCCAAGATCTCTTTCGTCTTTATTTCATAAAGTGAGACAAAGCCTTGACATAGTGTGCTTTGTGTGATGGAAAACCATCCCTGTGCTCAATACAATAAGTAAGTAAGTAAATAAAATTAGCATTTTTATAAGAAGCTTTGTGGAACACTCAAAAATGTTCTGGCATTTGCAAGCATTAAAGTGGAATGGCTGCGTGTGGCACATGCACGTACAGAGGTACCTGACCCTTCCACACTAGCTCCACTCCTATGTCATACAAAACTTACCTTTCTGAAGGTGGGGCAATCTGCCACATGAGTGGGCTCTTTAAATGTAAGCGTTGACCGGGGGCAATCTGTTTGGTAAGTTATTTTTCCCATCTTCCTCAGCATTTGCTGGCCTTGATGGGAACTTTTGGTTTTGTGGTTGAATCTGAAGGCGGAGGAAATGGCAGTTTCCCATCAGCTCTAGCACTATAGTAAGTTCTGTGCATTTGGCAGCAGCAGCTATGGGCCAGCTGCCTGAATGATGAAGAATGCCACCTACGGCACAGATACAGATATGCTCTAAATATTGCCTGCTGTAAATTGTGAACAAATCACCAGTACTTGACTTGAGAAAATGGGTATTGCAAGCAGGGTAAGGTTGATTTACTCACATGCTGTTATCCAGGATCATAGCATTGTTAGTTGTCTTGTTCTTCTGGATGCTGGTGTTGCTGGAGTTTTTGTCGCCCTATCTTAAACTGCAGTGCAACATAGTAGACCTTCCAAGTTGAACATCCATCTACTTGGGGGTATTTACTCCAAATGTTTGAATCTTTCCAAGCAAAAAATCACAGTGAGCAGAAAATTTTAATTGTGTATGATTGGGTTCTTTATTAGGATTACAGGCTCCGGCATCCATTGTGGGACCAATGTGGGACCATAGCTCAATTCCAAAGCATTTGTTCTTCTTGCAGAATGTGTTACATTCAATAGCCAGCATCTCAAGTTAACAGACATGTCAGGAGCTAATGTGAAAGACCTCCTGAGACCCTAAAGAGCTGCTGCCAGTTGTAATACACAGTGCTGACCTTGATAAGCCAGTGGTGTGACTCAGTAAAAGGGAGTTTAATGTGTTTAGTAGTTGAATTTGTTATGGAGTAGCAGAACTCTGGTAGAGTCGAGTAGTCTCCTCCTGAAATGGCCATGTAATAGATTATTGGGCTGTTATACTGTGAATGTTTCCCCAAAACTTATTCTACCCCAGCAACTTTTTATAGGTTCAGTGATCTATGACACGCACCAAAGCCTAGCTTATTAAGGTTCACAGAACAAGTTAACCCCATGAGTGTGGTCACTGAAACAGAGGTCCAGTCATGGCATCTAGCAGATATTCTAAAAGTGCCCAGAGTTGGGAAAAGTACAGAAGAAGGCAAGCAAGATGATTTAGGGGGTTGGAGCACCTTCCCTATAAGGAAAGGCTGAAGAGTCTGGGACTTCTCAGATTAGAAAAGGAAAAAAAAAACTAAAAGGGGACATGACAGAGGTTTATAAATTACGCACAGGATGGAGAGAGTTGACAAAGAGAACTTTTTCTCCCTCTCCCAAAATACTAGAACTCAAGAGCATCTAATGAGGCTGATGGGCAGTAGATTCAGGATGGACAAAAGCAAAGACTTCTTTGGGCAATGAGTGATTAAAATGTGGAATTCACCACCACAGGATGTAGTGATTGCCACAGACACAGACACCTTTAAAAAGGGGATTAGACAGACTGATGGAGGATAGGTCTGTCTGTGGCTACTAGCTGTGGTGACTACGGGGAACCTCCACATTCAGAGTCAGTAAACCTCTAAATGCCAGTGCCAGGAGGCAACATCAGGGAAGGCCTCAGCTTCTATGCCCTTTTGTTGGCCCTGCAGATGATAGACTTGCCAAGACCCCCCGGGGGGCGGGGAAACCCCCGCCCCAGAGGCCTGTTTCCTGCCGCCGCCGGATCGGGCCCCGGAGGGAACTCCACCCCAACGTGCACGTCACCAGGAAGTGACGCGACCACGCCGGGCATGCTGGGGGCGGGGCCACAGTCATCCGAGGGAAAACTCTATGGTTTTCCCTCGGATAGTCGTGGCCCCGCCCCCAGCGTGCCCAGCATCGTCACGTCACTTCCTGGTGATGTGGATGCGGCGCGCGTGCTCTGGGATCGACCCGGGAGTCCCCCGCTCCAGAACAAGGTGAGACTTGGCAACCCTAGCGTATGAACACGTTGGCCACTGTGTGAGACAGGATGCTGGACTAGATAAACCACTGGTCTGATCCAGCAGGGCTCTTCTTGTGTTCTTATGATGGAGAAAAGCATGCTGTATAACACAAGTGTGTGTATATTCTTCGTATATGTGTATTGTAATAAAATGGCTTCTCCTTCCCAAGAAAGGCTGAGTAAAGTGTTTTATAAAATGGCTTCTCCTTTGTTTACTGAATATTGGTGTGCAGCTAAATGTAGTTTACCTAACTTCCTTTTCTGTGCTGGTCTGCATAGAAGAGCACCTTAAATTCGACTCCAGATATTGGAAGAAGAAAGCTTTGACTCTCCAAAAGCGTATACCCCCCAAATCTTGTTGGTTGCTAAGGTGCTACTGGACTCAAACCTAGCTGTTCTGATTTTGTTTGAAAGTTTTCCTTCTGGATCTCAAAATGTGAAGCAAAAGAGCTCTACTGAATGAGAACAAAGGTTCACTACTAAATCACATCGTGCATTGGATCTAGCAAGCTTTTCCACCCAATGTTGGCCAATTCATGGCTAGGGGCGGGCAGTGGACCCTATTTTGGCAGCAGAAAAGCTGGTTGAATCCAACCCCCTGTTTCCCTGAATCCATGACACTCTGTCAGAGATAATGGATTGGATCCTCATTACCTCAAGTGGACTTCTGCCAGCAGAACTGGAGCTCCCCCGACATTGTCAGAAAAACTACTAAAAGGGCGTGAACATAGTGCAAGTATTAAAGAGACATACACAGATGCATACATGCTTGCACAAACAGAAGTGCTGCCCTTTTTTGTTTCAATCCCAAGGAACAATTCAAAGTCTGTTTTTCTATTGGGGGGGGGGGAATCTTGATTCTGTCAGATAGAGGGTTATAAACATGATGCAATCAGTGAGATGTTGTTTATATCATTCCCTCATTTCCAGTTGGAGGACATGATGTTGTCTTTGATAAATGTGAATAATTCATGCATCTAGAATCAAGCATAATGGTAAGCTTTGCTAAACCTTATGACCCATCATCCATATATTGTGGCCTGCCTAGAGGCTTGTGTTTGCAGTTTCCTGGTAGGCAGCGAACACAGAACAGTTGTTGAACACCCAATAGATTATCATTCCGAGCTGGCGGACTGTTTTTGAGTTGGCAGATGACATGGCCAGGCTTGCAATGCCGGTTTAGTATCCTATTGTATTTCCTGAGTCTAACCCTCATGAAATGCTTCTCGTTACAGACGTAAACGAATGTGCTGTTGAGAACGGAGGCTGTCAGGGGCAGTGCTGCAATACAGTTGGCAGCTACTATTGCAAATGTCCAGCGGGCCAAAAACTGGCAGAAGACAAGAAATCCTGTGAAGGTAAACAGCCTGTGTAGAGTCTCTGGCGTGAGGAACCCTTTCTGAAGGAAAGCAAAGTGGGCTGTTTTGTTTTTGGCAGGCAGTTTAGTGCTTATGCGTTCAAATGGCTTACTTTAAAATGCAGATATGTGTTTCGATGATAAAGATGCCGTTGGTTGCAAGGACTCTTCAAAAGGGCTGTTGCAGATGGGGAAAGTCTGAATATCATTTGCATTGCTTTGTCGGTGATCCAGTTTTTTCATTGCTAGGCTGCCAATGATGATTCGTCTTAAATATATCAAGTAGCACCTGGTAATTTTTGGTACTCTGTTGATAAACTAGGCTGGTGATCTGGTTATAGTGAGCATTATAGGTTAGTAGCCATATTAGTCTGTAGCCACACAATAAAACAGAAGTCCAGTGGCACCTTAATAAAGACAAACGGAATTTATTCCAAGGTGAGCATTTGTGAGTTGGAGCCTACTTCATCAGATGTATCAACCAGTGTTCAACCATCAGGCAAAAGTATTTCGACTCAGCTTTTAGTAGAAATACTTTACACCTAACTGATGTACGCTCCGTGTCCTCTGGTGAAGTGATCTCTGTCTTATGGAAGCTCATACTGGAATAAATGGTGTTAGTTGTTGTCGTTGCCATCAAGTCACAGCTGACTTATGGCGACCCTGTAGGGTTTTTGAGGCAAGAGACATTCAGAGGTGGTTTGCCATTGCCTGCCATGTTCAACATCCAATTCTTTTTGAGAGCCTTGGGGGAGTAATAGGCAAGGAACATTCTTGCATTGGTATGGCGATCTCACCCTCTTCCCTCCCTCACATGCAGGATCCCCCCCCCCCTATTATTCTTCCTTTCTGGCTGAGCAGTCGGTTTATCTGTTTTTTTTTTCTTGTTTGAAGGTTTATGGCTGTTCCACCCTGTCACGTTATTATATTTTGTTGCTGGCTCAGCCCAGGTACTTGAGAGAAGAGACAAAACCAACTCCTTAACTTATACTTCTGAAAATGGCACACCAGAGGCTTTTGAAAGTTCAAATATAAACAAAACATTTTATTTAACATAGAGGGGAAAAGGTCAGGTGAAATCAAGGGTAAAATGTCTGAGGTGAATCAATAATAACTCTGAGGTAACTTAGTAATTTCACAAACTCCAGTTCCTGTGTTTCCAGCAAGTAAGCATTTAAAGCTTTTCACAAAGGTCTTAGAATCTTTGAGATAGAGAGGCTTTAATTTCAGTGACTGCTAAACACTCCGGTATAAGTTCTTCAGTTTTAACTGACTCTTCAGGTTTCAGAAGGCAGGGACACACTATCAAGTACCCAAATTCCTTCTCTTGAAGCAAACCAGAAATCACTCCACTTTTCAGAGCTATCTCCTTTTTCATCTGGGCAGGGAATCATTTCTCTAACTAGAAGCTCTGTCCTTTTCTGGCCTAAATGGGGGGGGGGGGGCTCCTCCTTGCCAACCATCCCAGTCTTCAGTCATTCCTCAGTTGTGTGGATATGTGAACCGCACTTTCTCAATGATAAACTGAATCATCTAAACCACGCACTTCAAGCAAATGGCTACTCCAGGAATGAAATCAGAAGAGTGATTAAACCAAATGTAAAACAAACAAGTGAGGAAAAACAGTCTCCCACAGGAAAAGTGTTTTTGCCATATATCAAAGGAATCACTGATCAGATGGGAAAATTTATGAAAAAACACAACCTACAAACAGACCCACCAGAAAAATACAACAGATGCTATGATCGGCAAAAGACAGAAGAGACCCCCCTCACTTCTGCAGGAGTATACTGCATACCCTGCAGTTGCGGAGAGGTTTACATTGGGACCACACAATGTAGCATCCAGAGAAGAATAAAAAAACATGAAAGACACTGCAGACTTAAAAAAAAAATATTAAGAAGAGTAAAACAACATAACAGCATATTCAAACATGTCAAAAGAACCAGCCATTACAGTAAGAGATTAACTGAAAAAATCAGCAGTGGCTGAACATAGCCTAACTCAAACAGGACACAGTATCTTATTCCAGCACACTGAAATGCTGGACGACACATCCAATTATCATGTCAGATTATACAGGGAAGCCATTCAAATTCATAAACATAAACACAATTTTAACAGGAAAGAAGAGAGTTTAAAAATGAATAGTGGCATGGTTTCCAGTCCTGAAAAACACAAAATGCTTTACATTTTACAACAACACTGAGATAAGATTAGAATTTCAACAGCCAATCCATATGCAAAAGAACCTCCTCAGGAAAGCTCCTCCATTAGCATGTTGCAGCCTGGGAAACTTCTACAAGATAATGACTCAGCCCTACCCCACCATCCTGAGTAGATAAAAAATAACCTGCCTACCATTTTTCTTCTCACATTGACACAGAGAGTACTCCATTATTTCTGTGTTATACCTCTGAGGATGCCAGTCACAGCTGCTGGTGAAACGTCAGGTACTACAATGCCAAGACCAAAACCATATAGCCTGGAAAATCTACAATAACTAACAGTCCATAACTATTGGCAGTAGCCGTCTTCAGGTATGTCTGTGCATGCCAGGATGTTGGCAGCTGCACGTATGCGGAGTGTGCTGTTTGCAGCCACCCTGTGCAGTCACCGTATTGACTGAATAGGGACTCATAGTGTGTGTGCATGTACAGCTTTGATACCCATGAACCAAGCCCTGGAAAATCCAGTATTCAGCTTGCTTGTACCAAAGCTGTATGCACACTCAAAGTACACACAGTGCCCTGTGAGGTCAACGTGGTAATGGTGCTTATCAGGAGGAGTTTGCTTTAATTCATGCGATTGCTGGCCTCCAGATACACAGAGGTGTAATGTATGAAAGGGGAAAGTGCGAGTTTTATTTCCAGTTTGCTTCAAACAGGTTGCCTGGAAATGCATCTTGCCTATCCCACTCTAGGATACAATTTCTGTTGCTGGCATTAGGATCGGTCAGACTAAACTGTTCCCCCCCCCCCTGTGTTTTTTAGATGGTAGCAAATCTTTCTCAGTCTAATAGCTGGCAATATCTGAAACGAACCACAATGCTTATATTGCCAAAGGCTTCCCTTTTTATTCAGTCTATTTGGGTTGAATTAGAGTCTGCAGATGACTTGGTAAAAGGAAAAGGATCCTGAGGCACTACTTCTGCTAACAGGTGCTTTCTGTGTTATATTTGGCAGCTTATTCGTTTTCCCCTGAAGTATCCAAAGATAGATTTGCCTTTTCATATCATGAGTATTATGAGCTCTGAGTCGAATATGACTGGGAATCAGCATAGTCATCTTCTGTATCAATATAATTTAAAGGTACTAAATAGTTGGGGGGGGGCAGGGGAAACAAACTGATGAAAAATTGAATTTCTTTCAACTTTAATCCAGGAAAAGACATGGCCGAGAGTGTCATACCCTTGATCAGATTTCTGACTTGTTTATTTTATATGATATGACAGCCAGTGTGGTATATCCAGAGGTCATTTCGGGGGGGAACGCGGGGGAACGCAGTTCCGCCGGTGAGGTGCAGGGGGCGGGGCACATGACGAAGCCCCGCCCCCTGCTTCCGGCCGCCCCGCTTCCAGCCCTCATTCAGCCAGGAGGAGGCAGGAGAAGAGGGAGGGTAAGTTGCTTCCTCCCCTCCTCTCCCCACCCTTGCCTGCCTGGGGCCAGGGAGGGCCTTGGCGGGGCTTCCTCGCACTCCCACTGGCCTTGCAGGTCCACCGCCAGGCCCCTGATGTCAGGGGGTGTGGCATATGCTAATGAGTTATGCTAATGAGTTCCCCTAGCTCTTTTTCTACGAAATGACCCCTGGGTACATCAGTTAAAAGCATCAGACTAGTACCTGGGAGACCCAGGTTTGAAATCCTCACTTGTGCCATGGAAACTCACTGGGTGACCTTGGGCCAGTCAATGTGTTCCAGCCGTAGCTACCTCCCAGGGTAGTTGTGAGGATGAAATGGAGCAGAGGAGAACAATGTAAGCTGTTTTGGGTCCCCACCAGTGTATCCTCTAAGCTGAGTTAGTGTGAGCTAGCTCACAGTTCTTTAGCCTCCAGCTCACACATTTTTGTCTTCGCTCAGGAAGGATGGCTCCAGAGCAAACTAATTTATGCAGTAGCCACATTGCTTGCTCACAACTTTAATGCCAGGAGCTCACAGAGTAGAATTTTTGCTCACAAGACTCCACAGCTTAGAGGGAACATTGGCTGGGAAGAAAAACAGAGTACAAATGAATTACATAAACGAATAAAAATATATCCTGAAAGCAGTCTCTCTCTCTCTCTCTTTCTGACTCCCTTCTAACTTGCAAACAAATTTCCATTAGGAGGGGCATCTGTATTATCCATCTGTTATCCATCCACTCACATTTTCAGCCTTATGAAGGGATGGCTAGCACTCTTGCTGTTTGCTTGAAAAGACATGTGACTTTTCATAGGCCTGACGGCTGTCTCTGGAACACAGGTGAGACCATCATGTCAATTTGTTATCGAGGACCCTGAATTGTTCTTGGGGTAGGTCAGTAGTCACATTCCTAGGATGGTGGGAGATCTGCAGTGGGAGGAGGGGAATTGGTGGGACGATTAGGGGCACTGATGCTTCCCCGTTATTGGTGGCATTGCATCCTGTTGGGGAATAGCTTCCTAACCAAATCTTAACGTAATCACAAGTGCTCTTGTACGTGAGTAGGATGTTTCATGCTGCCAGTAAAGGAATGAAATAGGATCAACCCCATGTTACTGGTTTTCAGACAGGTAAGGGAGAGTATCCACAACTGGTACCTCTGCTGGGATTACTGAAGGTCATCTCAATACAAAATGAGCTAATCTTGATGTATTTTAAGTGGTTTTAACTGTTATTTTGCAGACTTGCGTGATTGTTGATGGAACCTGGCCTAAGCTTGTTATGTGGGGAGGGTGGGATATAAATAAAATAAAAATAAACAGCCAGCAGAGATTAGAGGCAAATATTTTCTTAGATTGTACCATTTGATTGGGTGGGGTGTG